TTTTTGTTTGTACAATTGGTGAGAAGTGTTAATTCTTCCAGTGGTGAACTTCTTATTTCTGACACCATAGTCTTAAACTGTATTTTCCACACGACATATTGATCTAGTTTGTCATCAAAACGCTGTTGTTGAAAACTTTCCAACAGTAAGTTCTTTTTGAGTAGGAAATTCGAGGCATCTGAATAATTCTGTGATGGTAAATTCACGGTAGACTGCGTTGGTATCTGTAGCAGTGGTGAACAATAATTGTCAACATTTCTCTGAGGATGGTTTGTACGAGTTCCACTATTGAATATGAAAGGCTCAGCATTGGGGTTCAATGTGAGATTGTCAACAAAGTTTCTTGTTTTCTGCTCATCAGATACACTAGGAACACTGGGTTTTAAATCTTGATGTTCCGTGGTTTCTTCTTCCTCTTCAAGTTCAAATTTAAGACGCATATTTGCAATGTTCAGTTCTTCCTGTTTTTGCAGTAGATCCAATTCCACATCTATATCTTCCTGTTTCTGTTGACTTTGAGCTTTGTGGATTTTGTCTTCTAAGGTGATTTTGGACTTTTGTTTTTTCAGTTTTGCAGACTGTTCAGCAATTTTAAGACGGGCTTTAGCTTCCTCCACTCTCTGTTGTGAACGTCTACTGAGCGTTGATGATTTAGAACTTGCTGTCTTATGAGATGGGTTAGAGTTCACTTCCAACTGGACCAAATCAATATCATCTTGTACTTTCACTAAAGCGTTTTGAACCTTCTTATTTATCTCGTTAAAATTCTTCCGTATAGTGTCTAACTCTTGTGTGCTATCAGCTGTGTGTTTTCTATCGAGGTAATCACCAAATTCTTCATGATAATCTTTGTAACGTTTGAAACTGTCCTCAAGTTTTTCTTTCACTGACTTTAATGCGTAGATCTCTTTTGCAGATGAAGCACATTCTAACAATACACTTTCAATATCCTCTGAGAAGCGTAAAAGTATGTCTCTATACCTCTGAACTTTTTCTTCATATTGTTCTTGTGCTTTCTGTTTGAGGGTGTGCACTCTACGTGACGTATCTTCGTCCTCTGTATAAATCTTCCTCAGGTTATGAGCCATGCCTGAGTAGTTGAAACTCTGGAACGTTTTTACCAATCTTTTCACTATGCTGCCTCCATTATTAAAACACAGCTAGTTAACCGTTTTTTTTATCATTTATTAACGAAACGAAAGTCAAACGGTGAAAAGATTGTGGACAGAGTAAACAACTGTAACAACAGTATGACTGTACATGTACTGAGTAAGGCGACGAGTGACAATAAAAATCTCGTGCAACACGCACGGAAATAACAAATACAAACAAAAAAGAAAACCAAGGCATGCCGGAAGAAAAAATTCCGGATTACAAGACGGCACAACAAAGCTAATTGTAGTCCTTGACCTTGGAAAATTTTGATCACAAAAAGGGAAAAGTATTTTGCACAATGTATTCTTTTGAAGTTTTCATTTCAATAAATACAGCTCGATCACAGGCGCCTGTGAGCTCGATCATGAGCTCATATGCCATTGAAAAAAAGTACGGGTCATTGTATTCAAGACGTTTTATTACTTAAATTAACTATATACGTTGGTATTTTAATTTTTATTTGTGTAACAATAACAACATAATTTATTTAAATAATCCGACTAGGCAATTCTTGTCCGAATTACCTTGAATGATTTCGCGCGCGTTCCTAATGTAAACAAACCCATGCCATCATTTGATGAGTACCAAGAGTTAGAATCGTTTATTGAAAATTTAGAGCGGGACACAACATCGCAGTTCATCGCACAGAGAATAAGTTTACAACAAAAGACACTTCAGTTTGCAACCCGGAGGTAAGATTTACTTGCTGTGAATATTACTTAAATGGAGGCTACATGATATACAGCTAAAATGAAAATAAACTCTTGGGTCCAAAAAAAAAAATAATTACATTTATTGAAACTTAAGGATGACGTTTACTCAGGTTTCAGAAATCAGAGAGGAAATTTTATAAAGTATAATATATTAAATCAAAAATTGTTCTAATTGGATAGAATAGCTACGATTTATCTCAATATCAATTTAAAAATTAAATATGTAAGTACTTGAAGAAAATATTCAGGAACAAAACTCAATGTATGGCTATGCAGAGGAAATTCGGACTAAATTTGTAATTTTTTGTTTTTGTCGAAATTTTTTATTTCTTGCAATATTAATCAAAAAGTAAAGGTTACATATGTTTTAAGACATCATTTTGCAAATATTATATGTGTTTAAGCTCATAAATTATTTCAAATAAATAAATGTTATGAAATTAAGAAATTCAAAAACATGTGCAAAAACCACTGCAGTCACCATATCTCAATAATTTGATCATTGACCCCATATACTATTAATACCATGAAAATGAGGGTAACAAAGGTAACCTGAGGCAATAAATAATTTAGAGTTCTTATCAGTCAGATTTTTGCAATATTTAATTAAAAATAGGGAAAAATATGAATATGACAGAGGAAATTCGGACTGTAATAATTATCACCTTTATGGCTCAAACTCTACTCATTTCTTTATATGGAGCAACTCTGTTCCATTGCTATAATATTTCATTATTTAAAGAGTTCTGTTGCTTGTAATGTTTTGTGAGTGAAGAAAAAAAATGGTCATAGTGTGAAAAATTGAGGTTTTTCCCGAGAAATACTCAGGGGCCCCTAGCATGAAAACAAGGTCATTAACCTAGTTATTTGAAATTGAAATTTAACACAAGAATCATAGGTGTACAATGTGCAATGGGTGGTTTTTCGTTCTTATCAGTGGAATTTTTAGTCATCTGAGTAAAGGTATACCTTAAAGCATCTATAGATCTTAATAGTAAAGTTATAAATTTACATGTATTCAGTATAATTACCAAAAAATAAATCTTTATTCACACTGCATTTAAAGTCCACATAGTTCAGTCACTTAAACGATACTTACAAAACAGGTAAGAGTCAAGTACCCTACGCTATTGATACGGTCTACCGAGTACTACAGGACAGGTAAGTGACCAGAACCCTAGGCTATTGATACCGTCTACCAAGTACTACAGGACAGGTAAGTGACCAGAACCCTAGTCTATTGATACGGTCTACCGAGTACTATAGGACAGGTAAGTGACCAGAACCCTAGGTTATTGATAAGGTCTACCGAGTACTACAGGACAGCTAGGTAAGTGACCAGAACCCTAGGCTATTGATACTGTCTACCGAGTACTACATGACAGGTAAGTGACCAGTACATTAGGCTATTGATACTGTCTACTGAGTACTACAGGTCAGGTGAGTGACCAAAACCCTAGGCTATTGATACAGTCTACCGAGTACTACAGGACAGGTAAGTGACCAGAACCTTAGGCTATTGATACTGTCTACCGAGTACTACAGGACAGGTAAGTGACCAGTACCCTAGGCTATTGATACCGTCTACCGAGTACTACAGGTCAGGTAAGTGACCAGAACCTTAGGCTATTGATACTGTCTACCGAGTACTACATGACAGGTAAGTGACCAGTACATTAGGCTATTGAAACGGTCTACCGAGTACTACAGGACAGGTAAGTGACCAGTACCCTAGGCTATTGATACGGTCTACCGAGTACTACAGGACAGGTAAGTGACCAGTACCCTAGGCTATTGATACGGTCTACCGAGTACTACAGGACAGGTAAGTGACCAGTACCCTAGGCTATTGATACGGTCTACCGAGTACTACAGGACAGGTAAGTGACCAGAACCCTAGGCTATTGATACGGTCTACAGTTAGTCCTTCTGTTGAATTTGATGGCACTCCTTACATCAACATAGGATGGATGGTAAAAGAATGTCACCATAGACCAGATAGACAGAGGAGAGCAAAGGAAAAAAAGAAACAAAGACATGTAAGTTGTCTTGCTTTTGAAGTACTAACATATTTTGTTTTTTTATAAAATCAGATTGAAATATATTTTGATGAAGTGAAATGTTTGTGGCAGGATAAAAAAATATTTATTTAAGGGAATTTCATTTCTTGGAGGATTGTAGAGTAATAAATCATTTAAATTTCATAAAAAGTAATTATTTGTATGCATTATTTAATTACTGTAAACCATCTTTTATTTGCGTTCGAGAAATGTTTGCGAAGTTCGCGAGAGCCTCGTCATCGCGAATATTTCTCGCAACGAACAGGTTCTTAAGAGCGAGTCTACGAGAAAATCATGCAAAATTAAAAAATTGTTACACAAGTCACATTTTAAAAAGATGATTTTAAATACATAATTTTGAAGAGAATGGACCTATATAACTATTGTGAAAAAAAATTCAACAAAGGTGTCCTCCTAATCGAGATAGCCCCGAATCTATTTATAGCCAACTGATGGGCTGGATTTTCAAAGAAAAATAGCACTTTTATGAGCCCTTCAAAAAAATAAAATGAATCAATGATTTTTAAAAAATTTGTGTTTTATGTTGAATTATCAAGTAAAACTTTTTGTTTATAGTTGAATTTTGTTTACCAGATCTTATTAATTTGGGAAATTCAAAAGGTTTTATAAGAGAAAATTCACTTGACTTTTATATCTCTACAAGAAACGCAGTGCTGTGTCTGATACAACGGGTGAACTTTTGTTTATAATTATCTATCTGATTTAATTAGTTATTTTACACAACATATTTCAAGGAATTTCTTGGATTTACAATGAATTTCGAGATATACACTTTTGAATCTCTTTATTTTTTACCGAATTATCGATCTTTTCGAACTCTTCAGTGCATGAAGAGTAAAAAAGTCATTATTTACATGGAGGGAAATGGCAGCGATGTCGTCGGGTATGTGTGATTTTGGTGAAGATTGTGAAGAAACGGCGATATATTAATTGAACAGCTGTGTTAAACAAACCTTTCACCACCTCAGATATTTGGACTCATAACTCTAAGGGTATAGATCTGCCCAAAAGTTATTTAATTCTATCCAGAGCGGGTATCGATGTTATCAGATACGCGCTTGGTCTGTACTGGAAATGGAGCGAGAGATCTTGTGTACATCCCTTTCATGGTTTATCTAAAACGAAACCAGACTGACTCAATGAGGCATCACACCAGTTTTGAGCCGGGAACTTTGATTGCGTCTACAGCTATCACTATCAGTCCCAATAGATGAAGGTAATAAGAAATTTGTCAAACTGACCAAGTTATGAAATAATATCCTTGAATTATTATACTTAAACTTGATTTTTTTCTTAACAAGTCTTGAATATATATGATTCCTAAACTTGCTACTTATGTAGTTAAAAGTTTATGGCAACAAAATGACATAACAATAGGTTTAGCTGCTAAAAATAGATATTTATGACAATCCCGGAGAGCAATACGTTATATCGCGACTACCAATGAGTACCTCGCAGTTATCTAACTTACTACCGCTCTTTTGCGGGGAAGTCGAGAAAAGTCTACATTTCTGGGGGCAAATGACTTTGTTTACAGTAGTGACAATCGAATGATTCGAACAATTTAATGCCAAAATCACGATGATTTGCCAGATATTGAACTCCAAATAGTAGATTGTCAAATAAGGAAAGTTTAAAATATTTTGTCTGCTTAAAAATATGACGATTTTCAATGAAAATTTAACGAGAGGAGTCCGCTTAATTGAAAATATCGTTAAAAATGTGACAATTAAGGATTGGCTCCTCTCAAAAATATATTAGGCTGGTTTAGTGATTGTTTAGCGAGGTATTCCACCAGGATTTTTTACTTATCTGTCCTTATAAATGCTACAATGATCGATCTTACATTGTATTGAATAGCACATTGTCCCCACCCAACAGACGATTCCTACCTCCTTCGCGAAAGAGTTCCGCTAAGTTAAGTAATCGCGATATCAAGTATTGTGCTAGTTAGAATAATCTAACTGTGTCTTGGAACACGCCCTGACCACAGTTAGAATACGTCCCATACACTTGCAATGTAGCAAATTGGAGCGGATCTTACTCTGAAATGATATTTAAGAATATAAAAGGATTTGCACAGGAAATAAATACTAAATTAATCAAAACAAACCTTTTTGAGATTGCATATAATTATGCCTTTTATCTAATGTTGGCAACGAGTACCCGGTTAACCGTCGAACGTTGTGAGTATCGGTTAGAAAAACTGCTATTCGGTTACTCGGATGAAATAAATTCTACATAGTAAAGGCATAGTAAAAATGAATGTTTTATAATTTATAAATGTATACTTACTTAAACATTTCCTTAATTTTAGGTAACGTAAGATTTGATCTAGTGCATGGTTGTAGTGAATCAAATTGTTTTGATTAGTTTTCACAGTTTATATAATTAATAGCCTTGATTGTCTGGGGTATACATATTTTGAAGGCCTGAGTTATAATTACCTCATTTGATTATTTAACGAGATGCCGCCGCAGACATAATAAGTTTGGAGTTGTAACAAAAGCTCATTCAAAATGTGTTAAATCACCTAAGCTTAAATTATTCGAAAACCAGCGATTTACTGGACACTCCACATATTTATTATTAATTATGGGGTATGTAAATAATTATTCTCCTTGATTGCAACATATTTCGGGGGCTGAAAAAGAAAGTAAAAAATGGTGATTGACGGTGACGTACGTATTAATTTATTTGTCTTTGTGTGTTGAATTCCCTATTAATTTTCTTTATTTTAAAATCGAAAATCTTTGACGATATCGTATGTGTGTATTGTAAATATATTGTCCCTATACAGTATATTTGCGCATTACTACTACCGATAAGTATAGAATAAGATAAATAATAGATATCGATACTTTTACCAAAAATCATCCGAGTAACCGGGTACTCGATCAGCAGATGAAGCGAGTAACCGGTTACTAAAAATCGTCCGATTTGCCAATACTACTTTTATTCCAAAAAAATAATCCATATAAAGGCAAAAATCCAATAAATTTTGTCAACATTTTTCTGCCATGTTTACAATCGGAACTCTCTAGATTGTTCATAGTAAACAGTGATAAATGCACTGATTACGAGTTATCACCTGTGTTTCTTTTGCTACATTACGAATACACAGAACAAATTCTATCGTTAAACCGGGTCCTTAGGACATTTATCATTTTAACGATAGAAGATTCTATCTACTATTGTGCCACCCATTGAAAAAAAATGGATATTCATTGCATACAAAATGTTGCATATAGTTCTGGATTAATTCTTCCAAACTCTTACCTCAGTCAGACAGTAGGAAGAGCTAAATTGTTCAAATCATGACCCCAGGGGGTTAGGCGGAGCCACAATGGGGAATCAAAGTTTTACATAGAAATATAAAGGAAAAATCTTTAAAAATCTTCTTCTCAAGAACCACTGGGCCAGAAAAGATGAAACTTGTTTGAAATCATCCTGGGTTAGTGTAATTAGTCTAATTAGTCTAATTATGATCAGTGGGTTAGGGGGTCACAATGTGTATTACAAGGGGGAAATCTGGTAAAGAACAGAATGGTCAAAGCCATTCAGGTAATGATGTGGGCCGTGAGCCTCTTGTTTTTCTTTTGTTTTTTTTTGTTCGTTGGAGTTGGTAAATTGACCAAATTATGCTCGCCAAACAAGACACTTATTGATATTGGATTTGTCCCTTATTATATACAGGTCCATATTTGCCCTGCACCAGATTTGTATTTTTTGAACTTGAATACTGTTTGTTATTTCCATATATTTTCTTTTTACTTAGACAGAGTTGAGCAGCTGACCTATTCAACCATTGCCTCAATACCTCCACTGAATCTTAGAGATTGCACTGAAGTCAACGGTATGATGTTTATGAATGGTTTCATTAAACTTTCAGACTATGCAAAATCATTAATAAGAAAAAAATCTTGTATCTTTAAGTCGTCGGAGTTTTTCAGGTGACATTTTTCTATTAAAATTTGTCTGTCATGTGTAGATTATAAATTTACAATTCATGACCCCTGAGGGGGGTAGGGTGGGTGTGCACAATATAAATTTGCAAGGGGGGAGATCTGGTTAAGAACAGCATCATGGCTAAAGTTCCTGGCAATAGGGTGAGCAATGTGGCCCATAGGCCTCTCTTTTTGTGATAAGTAATAATTTTATAAAAAGTTTAAATACATCATAAGAAAAATTTTCTACAATTTTAGATGTTAACAACAATGCTAATCCTGCTGAAGAAACTTCAGGCAGCAGAACAGTTTGACAGTGTCCAAGCAATAGCCAATGAACTTACAGAATAAATGGCTGTGACTGAAACTCATTTCAATATTTTTGTACCGTAGTTTTACTTATATTGTTTTTATAAATAATACCTGTACTCAGATGTGTTTCCCTCATATAATTACATTTAATTCATTGACATTTATTAAAGTGGGAATTGATCAACTTCGAGGGTTTCAACAAACTATATCATTTTGTTGAGATGTTAATTCATTGATATACTGTTGTGTATTTTTCAATAGAACATGATAGAATGAAAGTACATCTTTTTGGAATTTTTTTTATTTGTTCTCAAACATGGTACATGTACTGGGATAAAATAATTTTTCAGAATGTTAATGTAGAATTTTGAATGTTTTTTTTCTTTTTTTTTTTAAACCTTCCAATACAGTTTTATAGATTTACAGTTATATTGCATATAATATTACCTGTAATTGAATTTATTGCATTGTGGTTAAGTAAATCCATTCACATTCAAAATCATGTTGTCTTAGAGGACAGAGACAATACAAGTAGTTTTATGGTATGAAAATTGAATCAATTCCTGTTTTAATTTTTTAGCAATTGTGGCCTTATGCTTCAAAGGATTATTAGAAGTTTAAAATTATTAAATGTGGTCTTTTAAGTACATTTCAACCCGATGTCTTCCAAAGTTCCAAACATACATATCTGTGGAGCTCATTACTTCATCAATCATCATACTCTCCTTCAACTATACTTACTGAAGATATTTGATATTCAAAGTACATGTAAATACAGATGTGTACATTATATTGTAATAGAATACTTTTTATGCACCTAGATCCATAGATACGGGTCGTACCGGTATATTGTTTTGTCCTATTTGTCTGTTTATCTGTTTGTCTGATTATCTGTTTTTCTGTTGTCAACTTTAACCTTTGCCATAACTTTTGACCTTGTGACCTTGACTTTGACCCATATATTAAAAAAAACTTTTGAGAACTTTGTTGCCAAAGGGCATATAGTGTTTCACAAACACATCTTAGTTTTATTGAATCATCTTTAAAAATATTAGTGAAGTTAACTCCCTCCAAACCCTTTGAGGTTTAAAAATAATTGTAAGAATGGTATATTAGTGTAATCTTTTCAGAATGTTGTAATTGAGGAAAAATTTATATTATTATACTACGTGTAGATTACTATGTTCATTTTACAAAATATGTAATAAATATTTAGATTTGAAACATTAAAGAACTAGGTCTAATATGGGATGAAATTGGCCTTGTTGATTTAAAAATTAGTAAAGTTTGTTTTCATCATAACTTTGTTGTATTTTATAATCCGACAAATTCCAATATTTTGTAAAAACACTATTTAATGAACTTTCAAGGAACCAAAAAAAAATTTCTCTCTTTACTGTGTATCAGGTTTTATGGCTCTTAGAATTAAGGCAAGAAAAATCTATTTTTAGAACATCTTGAGATAATTGTAGTTGTCTCCCGCTGAAAGTTTAACAAATTTAAAAGTTTTATAATGGAAATGATTAACACTGTTCATATGTGTATAAAATACACCATATCTTTTCCCAGAATTTTTTTTGTAATAAAGTAAAGCTGTAAAGGTAACTGGTATTTTTCATGTGTTTTATAACATTTATGGCCATTTGCCAATGACAAACATAGATAGTGCTCATGTACACTATGCTAATCAGCAGATTTTGACCAAATTTACAGAAAAGTCTTACAATACCTTGAAATGAATAAATATAATAATGGGAAGTGAAATTGAGAACCTAACATGAATAGCTCTCTGCATGGTTTTCTCATATACTCCCTCTTAAAGTCTATGTGTCTATTAACAAGAGAACCTAAATAGGCCTAGACGTGAAAAATAATAGTCGCCAACTAGTTTACCCCCGGTAAATTGCGAAATAATGTCGTCCTGAATAAAAGTTGGTTTACAGTAAATGATAAATGACAATATTTTTTTAATCAACAAACCTTGAAGAGAACTGTATAAATATAACTGAAATATATGCACCCGGTATTGTAAATATAGATAACTGGTGATTGAGAGATTTTTAATAGTTACTGTATACAGGGAAATTTTCATCCTGTTTTATTTTTGCCCGTTTTGCCTTACCCTCATTTGGGCAAATTTAAAAAGGGGGTGAATTCAAGGAATTACATAATGATTGCTATAAAAATTAGGATAGGGCGAATTTTAAATGGAGCAAAATTGTTCACAAACGTAAAAGGGCAAAAATAACATGGGGCAAAATAACCCTGTAATTACAGTATGTATGTCTGATACATGTAATTGTTGTATGTAATCTTTCTTAAAAAAAATTACTTGAAAAATAAAAATTTACATATAGACAATTGGCTTGATTATGAAAAAAAAAATTAAGTGTTTGGATGTTTAAAAGAAATTTATGGACAGTGTTTTTACTAAGTACTAATCTTGCACAGTTACAAGGTAAGTTAATAAATAATTTAAAATAGAATATACCGTACAGGGGATTAATTTCACTGGTTGTAATTTTCACGTTTTTCTCTTCTTTGGTATACGGTAATCACGGTTTCTTTAATTCGTGAATTTGGTATGTATTAAAAGTTTCCTCCCTTATCTATACCTATTGAAAACTTATTCACTGTTTCTTGAATTCACGGATTCATTAAAACCGTGAATATAGCGAATATTAACACCGCGAGTTATTTTCCCCCTATACAGTATACAATATTTCCACCAAATATTTGGTACTGCTCAATATTAAAACTAGATTACAAACTTATTGTAAGTGATTTATTGTCATTGATAGAAACCTGGAGACCATGATTACTCTAATAAAGGAAAAGCACGTAAGAAAATCCAAATGTCTAAAAAGCAAGCTTGTCCAGCAACAATAAGAATAAGAGCCATCATGAAATTCCCTGATTTCAAGGTAAATTTTTCATTTTTCCCTTTATACATAATTTGGATAGTACTGCTTGGGGTCTTTAAATATATATCATAGTTATTTGTCTTTTTTAGGTAGATTCATATAACAAAACAATTGATGAAAAGGAAGATATTTAGAAATCTCAAACAAGCTTTTGCAAACAGAGACACAATTCAAAAATCCCTTGTTTATTTGGTGTCATATCCAAGTGTCAAAGACCACAAGAACCACCTTACTGGAGAGGTAAGTGTTAATCATCAGTAACCAGAATTCTAGATACTTTGTATACTATATTACAATATTTCATTTTCAGAATAAATTTTCTTTTTGAATTATTAAAAGTAGTACAAAATTTTTCCCTTGTAGTTTGCAAGATTTACTCAGCGCATTGATCCGAGATTAGTTACACGCATAAAAGAACTTGTAGCTGATGGGTTGAGAAATGTTTCTGAAATGAAGAGACACCTACTAATCTCTGTGAAAAATGACTTATGTCCAGATGAGGATATTCCCAGAACAAACAGAAGATTTTTTCCATTGGACAAGGATATTAAAAACCACATGGATATTGCCATTAACAGCTTGAGGTATTGAATTATAAATGTTCCTAATTTGTATTTCGTATGTAAACTTAAGATAAGAGTAAGTAGGATTATTTATTTTCATCAAAGGGCGACTTAAGGAAGAATTAATATTTCTTTAATTATGAGGTTTAATTCATTAAAAATTTCCATTAGTATATAAGCAACTGAATCCCAGATTCTGAAGTGCAATAATGAATGATTGCTTCTAGGTTTTCCAAAGATGACCAGCTGAACCTTGAGTCTCTGGTGGAGACCTGGCAAGAGAGAAATCCAGAGGACAACTTCTTACTCAGGACATCATAAGTTTATCAAAAGTTTCAAACCTAATTGCCTCTGATAAAATGATCTAGAAGTTACCTTTGTATGTATTACCGATATATTTTTCAAACACAGATATGATACCACTACCCTTGGAGACATTCTATCGGAGGACTTTCTGTTTGTTCACCAGACCACCTGGCAGAAACGTCTCTTAAACTTGTATAGGAGAGACATTTGCATCAAGGATGCCACACATAAGACCTCAAAGTATGCCCTTCCTCTTTTTTTCATTTGTATGCAGACTAATGTTGGGCATTCCATTTGTGGTTCTTTTGTTGTTGCTACGGAAACAAAAAAGTCTATTCAGGAGGGCTTAAGAAAAATTAAGGAATGGAATCCAGGATGGAATCCGAGCTATTTCATGACTGACTATGATGAAAGGGAAATTCAAGCAGTTGAGGAAGTATTTGAAGGTAAAAAAAAATATGTACCCCAGTATATTATGGTGATATTCTACAAGTATATTTTTATCACATTGTAAACCAAATATTTTAATCACTGAAATCCTCTGATATTATGTTTAATTAATGAATTGCTTTTTTAACAGACTGTACTGTATCTGTGTTCTTTTCATTGTGAACAATCATGGACACGGTGGTTGAAACAGATAAAGCATGGTGTTGGTTCAAATCAGGATGAGGTTATTGAACTGTAAGTGTACACATGTGATTATTGTACCCAGTAATTTGTGTCATGTTTAATTGTGTGTGTATTTTCTCTTTGCATATATTTTTTTTTAAATATTGTAATGCAAAATTCTAAAGAGAATGATTCATGGTAAAATTAATTGGAAAATGTGCATTGTTTAAATATAATTAACCGTATCAATAGCCTAGGGTACTGGTCACTTACCTGTCCTGTAGTACTCGGTAGACAGTATCAATAGCCTAGGGTTCTGGTCACTTACCTGTCCTGTAGTACTCGGTAGACCGTATCAATAGCCTAGGGTACTGGTCACTCACCTGACCTGTAGTACTCGGTAGACTGTATCAATAGCCTAGGGTACTGGACTCTCACCTGTCCTGTAGTACTTCGTAGACCATATAAATAGCCTAGGGTACTGGACACTAACCTGTCATGTAGTATTCCGTAGACCGTATCAATAGCCTAGGGTATTGGTCACTTATCTGTCCTGAAGTACTCGGTAGACCGTATCAATAGCCTAGGGTACTGATCTTTCACCTGTCCTGTAGTACTCAGTAGACCGTATCAATAGCCTAGGGTACTAGTCTTATACCTGTCTTGT